TTATTTTTTTCGAACTCCTTTTTTTACAATTCGATTACGCTACCGTTTCTTGTTCAAAATTCTCTGAGCCATCAACTACTTCCGAATAAACTCTCAAAATTAATTCGGAAATAATCACCGTTTTCTGCAATTTCAAAATTTCTTTCGAACCTCACAAATAATTACTTCTACGAAATCATCCCTTGATTTCTTCGAAATAACTTGAAATTAATTGCTCATTCATAACCCCAAAATTCGAAATTCCTTAAATATTCCGTTTTTTTTTGGAATTTGCAATAATCTTGTTTTTCGAAAATCCTTTTTACAACGAATTTCTTGAAATAAATTTCGAAATATTTTAAAAATTTCTTTTAATAATTTCTGTAGCTTATTTGTTTCCTCCAAAATTTCAATTTTCTGTAATTTTCCTTTTTCAAAAATCCAAATAGGGAATTTCACTTTTGAAATATTTTTCTATATACCCCCAATTCTTTTAAATTTAAATTCCGAAATTAATTAATTAACGGAAATTAATTATTTTTCGAAATTTGAATTTTTTTTTTTTTTTTTGTAAACAAATAAATCAATATTTGTCTACGTACTTATTTTTGATTAATTCTTTCTTCTCTTCCAACACTTCAAAATTTGTTGTTAATAGATTTTTAATTCAAAAAATTTTACTCCCAAAATTCCAATAAATCTGACAATATCCTTTTCTACCCAAATACTTTTAAGTTTAAAATTACGAAATTAATTGAATTAATTATTTTCGAAAATTAAATTTAAATCCATCTATTTTGTAAATTAAATTCGAAAATAATTCGGAAATTATTCGTTTTAATTTTCAATAATTATTTTCTGAAATTTTTCTTTTTGCAATGCAATTTTGAAAATCTTTAAATATTTTTATTTTCTGAAAATCTCTGACAAATCTGTCTTTGTATGCTACCGAACCCCTAAGCTCCCTTTCTACCCCCCCCCACTCTTCGCATGACCCGCAGCACCAGAAACTCCCAACGCGCCGCCGCCAACGCCGCTGCCGCGGCCGCCGCTGCTGCCACTGCCGCTGTTGCTGCTACCGCCTCCCCTGTTGCTGTTACTTCCTCCCCCCCGTCTTCCCCCGCCGCCTCACATTCGTCCACCCCAATGGCCGACGGTGCTTCCAGCATCAATATGGGCACCCTCCGCACCGACTCAGTCGATAGCATCGCCCGCAACCTTGCCGGCGAACAACCACCAGCGAACACCACCACCCCCGACCTCTCTGCCATCCTCCACGCACTCAACTCCGTCACCGCCTTTCTCGACGACATAAAGGCCAACGTGTCATCCTTATGCGACCGCGTCACCACGCTCGAAGGGACCACCCCCCCATCACGGTCGTCACCACCACGCAAACTACTCCAACCTCCACTGTGCAAACCACTCCAACCTCCACAGCCGCCTCTAGCAACACCCCCCCGCCGACCTCCTCCACTCCTACCACCTCTACCGCCATATCCACCAACCCTTCAATCCCCACCATCGTTACGTTCCCTCCACCTCCTCCCTCATCCGGCACATCCAGCACACCGCCTCATTCCTCGCCCATCAAAGTCACTCCTCTTCCCCCCACGCACTCCCAAACCCTCTCCCAACCCATCATGACCACCTCCACCATCCCCACCATCCGTCCCACCTATTCCCAAGTTACCTCCGGGGCTTTCCCCGCAATGCCACAACTTCCACCCAACTACCTCCTTGAGGACAACAACCAAATCGACCACACCTGCTACGACACCACCCCCGATAACCTCAGCTTCAACACCCTCGCGCAGATCGTTCACCGCGACGGGGAAATCCCCCGTTCCTTCCGATCWGGCGAAATCATGTCCTTCTCCRGCCTCCCCCACGAGGACGTTTTCCTCTTCCTAACCCAGCTTCAGAACTCTTTTCAACTCCACCACATGCCCCTTGCCCACTGGCTCTCCATTGCCACCTCCCGCCTCCTCGGCAATGCAACCAAATGGTGGATGGCTGAAGCTAGCAACCGCCGAGCCTCCGGAGGACCACGCCCCACCTTCCTCCAATGGGCCACCCTCCTCACTGCCACCTTCCGCCCCCAGAAAACCATTGACGACTACCTTGAAYAATTCTGCCACCTCCGCCAGACCGGTCCCACGGACCGCTTCGTCCAATACGTCCGCTCCCTCCGACACCACCTCCCCYACACCGTCATTCCCGACTGTGCGTTTATCTCCCGCATCAAACGAGTATGCCACAAAGACCTTGCAACCGCCCTCGCCCACGAACCCGACATGCCCCTTGCTGACCTCCTCTCTCGCATGCTCCACCACGATCGACTCCTCCACCCCCACCACCAGGCCCCCCTCGGCACCTCCCGCACCCGCTTTTTCCACCACATCACCTCCGAAGACACCACCTCCATCACTTCCYCAGACGAGTTCACCACATCTGACCCCGACGCATCTTTCGATTCACT